GATCCTCAAAGAGATGGATTGACACAGTGGCTGTAACAATGGACTCAAACATAGCAATGATTGTGAGGATGGCGCAGGACTGGGCAGTGTTTCGTTCTGTTGTACACAGGGTCGCTATGAGTCAGAACCGACTTGAGACCACCTAACAACAACAGCAACACAGGGGGCTGGGAGAACCAGCAGAGGCTGATGTCTGCCTATCTGGCAGCCTGAAGGACAGAGTCCTTTTAACTTGTGAGCTCCAATCTAGCTTTGGGTCGCTGGTGGTTTGAAAGAGAGTGTGCCACTTGGGCAGCTGGCAACAAGCACAGATGTGGGAAGGTGAGGACTGGCCTTTCAGGTGGAACTGGATTCATGCTGGTCATTACCAAGCAGTGAGCAATCAAGGTGCAATTTACCCACCTTGCCTGTTGTTTAGTGCACCCCCATCGGAGGTTTTCAAACAAGCCGGAGGACCATACTTATCAGAGCTCTGCAGAGGATTCAGATAGTAGAGAGGGGCTCAGACTAAATCATTTCCAAGGTCCTTAAAGACCTCAGTAATGTAAGATACAGCCAAAACTATTTAAGACAACACTCTACAGATAAAATGAGGAGAAAAAACCCTTAATGCAAAAAAAAGGTAATTATTTAGAATAAAAGAATAATTAGGAAATTAAACAGCTAAATAGTCTAGTTAGTAAAGGCACATTAATAATTGTAATTAATGCAGGTTTTTTTTTTTTTTTAACAGACTACTATTATTTTATTCCTTTCTCTCTGGAAAATGAAAAATCCATTACTTTTTTTCCTTTTGCTTTTACCCAGAAATTAAAGATTGGTAAGTGGTAATTAGCACAGCTCCTGTCAAAGCCAGTTGCCTAATGGGGACCAACATTTGACTTAAGTTGAAAGAATGGAATACAGCTAATGCAGAGTTCATTAGTCCCAGCTGCTTTCCTTGACATTATTTTTTCCTTCCATAAGGAAGACATATTGCTGTGCTGCTACATTTCTATTCTAGAAGGCCTGGAGGCACAGCGGGGTAGGGAAGGTAAATGGTACCAGGGGCAACATAATGTGTTTGTGACCTCTCACTACACGTTTGGTCTAGAGTTTGCAGACGAAGGTCTTTGCTCTATGAACCCATAGACCGGGGCCCCAAGGCACATCCCCTTCTTTACTCCCGCCCCCCCACCTCTCTGCCCCGCCTGAGCAGATGAAAGGGAACCACTCTCTGTTCTACGTGCTGGGTACTATGCTCTTCCTCATATATTGCTTCATTTAATCCTTCCAACTGTGGGGCATTCAGCTAACCTTACATTTGTTGAGACTAAGGTCCCGAGAGGTTAGACTCAAGGCAGATTTGTCTCACGCCAAAACCCATAGTGCTTTTTTTCATTATCTCATGCAGCTGAGATGCTTGGTGGGTTTGCTTCATCAAGTATAGAATACCAATACCAACACCCAGTCCAGTCAACTGAAACTCTACTATATATTTGATAGAAACAATTTAAGAAAGTATTTTTAATTCAGTAGGGCAAAGATGGAGGTGTAAATAAAATTGGTGAATAGAGATACCATTCTTTATTTCCAGAATCCAGGGGTCCTTTACTAATGGTAACTGTACAGTGTTCCCTGAGGCTTATCTATTGCTCCTACCCCAGCAGCAAGACTGTGGTTAAGAATCTTTTGGCAATTATATTGTAGGTATAGTAGGCCTTTTCCAGTTGGAGTTGACTCCAACTTATTAAACTGAAGCTCAAGCAAAAGCCAAACAAGAAATGGAGTGGCAGAAAAACTTTGAGGAAAGTCGAGATGGTTGTGTGGATAGCTGGCGAAATTTCTAAGCAAACACAAGGGAAGAAACAGATGAAAAACTGGACCTTCCTGACACCACCAGAAGTAAAAATGGAGCATTGTAGTGACTACCTGGGGTCACAACCACAGAACTCCCCTTCCTCCCATTGCCTTCCCTCCTGCTTTGAACTCATTCTTTCCTCCCACCCCCACCCCCACCCCAAAGTAGTGTAATATTTGCTTTTTCATCCATTTTGTTTCAGTACAATTTAGTATCAATCAAGTAATTCTTTCATACATTGAAATGAGAGGCTAAGTTTAAAAAAAAAAAAAAAAAAATCCTGCTCCACCCCCTACTCCAAGAGCAACCAGGACTGGAAGGTGCCACCATGGATGCTCCTTCTGTTCCCACGGCCTGTGACTTAATATTTTGTATGTCACTGAATCGTGGAAGTTAGATACTTCATGTATAGTTTATGGAAATCATCCAATTAAACATGTCACTTAAACACATACACACAACAGTAATCTGGATGTAGAACAGAATGGGCGTGTGGAACTAAGAAAATACGGAGCAGCGAAGAGCACTGGAATTAGAAGCCAAAGACCTGCTTTTGGATACTCTAATTAGACCTGTGACATGAGGCAAGTCACTGAACCTCGCTGAGCCCAACTCTCCTCATGGCTCAAATGAGAGCTGATGAGCCCTGCCTTGCCTCGCTCACTGTTTTGTGAGGCTCCAATGTGACAAGTGTAGTACAGACTGCAAACTGCCGTAACCCTCAACGAGGAATTTTGAAAACGTGTGGGGATGCTTTTAGTTGTCTCAAAGACTGGAGGGTCTACTGGCATTGAGTGGGTGGGGGTCGGGACTGCAGTTTTCCTGCAATGCAAAGGACAGAATCACATAATGAAGAATTGTCCCATATCCACATGACTTTTGAGTGTTATGCTGGCCATTCATGTAAATGTTCAAAATTATTTTAGCTTGAAACCTAATTCTCTTTTACATATAAACAGTTTTTTTTTGTAATTCTTTTCTTGTGGTAAATATATACATGTGTATGTTGTGTGTATATGTATGTATATATTTATATACATTAAACACTTGCCACTTCAATATTTTTTACATGTATAGTTCAATGACATAATGTTCATCATATTGCACAACCATCATCACTATTGGTTTCCAAATTTTTCCATTACCCTTAAAAGGAACTCAGCACCCCCTCCCTCTCACCCCTGGTAACCACTAATGTATAGTCTCTGTACATTTGTCTGTTCTAGATATTTCATATAAGTGGGATCGTATAATATTTGTCCTTTTGTGACTGACTTATTTTATTCAGCATGTTTTCAAGGTTCATCTATATTGTCGCATGTTTCAGGACTTCATTTCTCTTTATGGTTGAGTAATATTTTACTGTATGGATATACCACATTTTATTTATCCATTCATCTGCTGATGGACATTTAGGCTGTTCCTACCTTTTGCTATTGTGAATAACACTGCAATGAACATTAGTGTACAAGTATCTGTTTGTGTTCCTGCTTTCAATTCTTTTGGGTATATACCTAGAAGTGAAATTGCTGATTATGGTAATTCTATGTTTAACTTTTTGAGAACCTCCCAAACTGTTTTCCACAGTGACTGTACCATTTTACAGTCCCACCAGCAATAGATGAGGGTTCCAATTTCTCCATGTCCTCACCAACACCTGTTGTTTCTCATTTTTCTGATCATAGCATCTTAGTGGAGGTCAAGTGGTAACTCATTGTGGTTTTGATTTGCATTTCTCTAATGACTAATGGTGTTGAGCATCTTTTCATGTGCTTATTGGCACTTTTTGCAGTTTTCATGTGCCTTGGATTTTCTAGGAATGCAGCTACCTTGTAAATGAAGGAAGATATATTATTCTTATCCAAAACTTTACCATTTTAGAAATCCTATTACCAAGGGCAGTACTGCTTGTGGTATTTGAATTGGCAATCACTATACACCTATGCTAGTCTGCACCTGTCAAATTCATTATCTCCAACAAGCACCTGACAGCTTTATTGTGCCTTCTGGTATAGTCATGCCCAGACAGTGACATACTGAGATCCATGTCATTTTATTAGACATTATCTTCCTTTGTTTCTTCTGTTCTATTACATCTGGGGTCTTAATTCAATGCTTTTGAAAGTATATATGTAGGTAGGTTATCAACTATGGCTTTCATTTAAGGATAATTCAGAAGGAATTATAAAATATGCTACTAAAATAGGAAATGTTGGGGCTAACAGGGTGAGAACCAATGGTTTAAGGCATTAGTAAGGATGTCAAATAGATCTCAGCCCTCCTTGAAGATCACAGAGCAGTCCTTTTTGTTCTGTTTAATTGTTTCTGTACCCACCCTCCCACTCCACCCTAGGACTTCCTGTTATATTTCTTTACTTAATAACCAGCCATATATCTCTAACCAGCCATATATTTCTTAAAAATAGAAAAATTCCATTTTTCTCTAAGCCTGCTTGAAAGAAGTCAATGACAATTAACCATCTTTTCCCTGCAAGGAGACTATACGATGGATTACAAAACCTGAAGAACCAGTCTGTACAGAACCAGGAGGTATACAAACCGGAAGTGCTCTGCTTGGAGTCATATCGCATAGAAATGGAATTTAATGACCTTTATACCCCCCGCTGATAAAACATATTAGAAAACTGAAAAGTTTCACAGTGGTAACAGATCTAATTTCACAATACTGAGTTAGATATTAGAAATGGTGAATTATGCTATCTGTAGTATGTCCCTATGGTCTGCAAACTTAATGTGCCTTTAAACAAACAAAAATATTCATTAACTTGAGAAACAAGTTTTCAGCCATAATCAACACTCTACTTATCACCTTCTCTACCATTATTTGTGTTTATAATTTGGCAATTCTATCTTTAGAAGGACAACCAGTAACCAATTGCTGTCAGGTTGACTCCAACTCATGGCAACCTCATGTGTGTCAGAGTAGAACAGTGCTCCACAGGGGTTTCAAAAGTAGATCACCAGGCCTTTCTTCCAGGATGCCTCTGGGTGGACTCAAACCTCTAGCCTTTTGGTCAGCAGCTGAGCATGATAACCATTTGTGCTGCCCAGGGACTCCTTTAGAACAAAGACCAAAAAATCCCCAAACCTGTTGCTGTCAAGTTGATTGCGACTCATAGCAACCCTACAGGACAGAACTGCCCCATAGGGTCTCCAAGGAGTGGCTGGTGGATTCGAACTGCTGACCTTTTGGTTAGCAGCTGAACTCTTAACCACTGTACTACCAGGGCTCCAGAACAAGGACAATGTGTCCGAAATATGACAATTCCTTTTTACTGCCGTTTAGTGACTTTTAAACAGACAGCATAAAAACATGTAATCAAAGGAAATGGGATCTGGCTAGTGCAGCTACAGTATATCATTCAAAATAGGTGGAAGGGCATATGTTGAGATGTGTAATGGCTTTTCTGGAGGGACAAAAAGCCAGCCTTCCAGCCTGAGGCAGGGTATAGAGTAGTACGTAGGTGTCAATGAATCAGGCTGAAGGTATTTACTGATAACAAAAAAACAGGCCACAGGGTTTTCCTTGTAGCTGTAGCTAGGTGGAGTCTGGCTTGGCTCGTTTAGGATTCTGCAGTTCTCCAGGCAGTGAAGTCTTCTTTGCTGAAATACTCCTGAGAGAGCGCAAGCTCTGTACCTGCTGTAGACGCAGGCTGAGCTCCTGCTCACAGGCTTGTTGAACAGTTTCAGTTTTCCTTTTGTCCCAGTTCAAAGCAACGGCCAATACTTTGGGGTCTTCCTTCGTAACCAACTGCAGCAAGAATAGGAATCATTGATAAACCACTCCTTCCACTATCCCCATCTGCTCCCCTACTGCCTTTCCTTATGAGAGCAGGATTTGGCAACATCGGTTTATGCTATGTCTTTATGCTGAAATGCCACCACCAGGTTTGTTTCATATTAAATTGTCACACGCCTTACCATACAACATGAAAGGGTCTTCAGAAAAAAAACTACTTGGAGCAACTCTAAAGTCTCCCACCTACAGGAAATTTAGCCAAGCTTAAGTCAATTTCCTTCCTTTTTATGTACAATGGGAAGGTACTTGGGGACAGACAGGGAAGAGGACAAACAATAAGAAATATGGTAGCACCCATCCTGATGGGTTCCCTTCATCAAGTTTCAAGTTCCCCCATCTCAGCCAGCACAAGGTGACCCCCTCAAAGGGTGTTACTTTACGTGCCTCAGGATTTACTATGGATCTTCTTCAACCACTGATAGAACCAGAAGCCATCTCAGAAGCCTGAGACCAGCTACGCCTTCCTGTCAGGTTCAGTCACTCCACTACCAACGCTGGACCAGAGGATAATGCTTGATGAGCTGAGGAAGTGCATATTTTAAAAAGCTATTTAGAATTAGGTTAAACGAGATGTTTTTAAATGCTTTGGCACATAATAGGTGAATTGGCAGCTAAGATTCATGGTCTGCAGAGGTGAAAAAAAACAATCCCCTAGCAGCCTCTGCACTGTAATACTCCATCTCTAGAGCATATCATTTCTGCAGCTCAGTGTCCCTGGTTCTCACCTACCTCCAAATCCTGACTGGATAAGCTCAGTTCTGGAGCAGGCTTTTCCTTCAGTGCAGTAAGGATCTGGCTTGTGAGTGCAATTCTGGAGAACGTCTCTCTGCTAGTACCCATGTCAGCTGCATCCACCTCTTCAACAAACGCAGGTTTGGACTCTGCAAAGCAGGCATGAGATGGAGATTAGCACACTGTGTCATCAGTCAGCTACATAAAGAACCATCCAGAGTAATCAGTCAGGCAAGGGATAAACATGTCATTTCAAGATCCTGGCAGCTGTGGCTTCAGAGTTTTTGACTGCATTGTAAACATTTTGTTCCTTTTCAAGGAAACACTCTATAAACACTTGGTTCTCACTGTAACGCCCCCACCAAAAGAGTCCTACCTTCCTGCTTTGACAAGATGCTGCCCTCCTTCTCCAAAGCCCGTAGATAAAGCTCCAGGAGTTGCCTGGACTGGCGGGCTTCCTCTCTCTGGTCAAGCACCTGCTGGAGGGTGTTCTGGAGACCCTGCACTGCAGCACAGCTTTGGCTGAGTTCCTGAGCCAGGTCTGAACATGGGACATCGATGAGCACCTAATAAAGAAACAGGGACTCTAAGAAATCTAAAAGTACATCCTAAATGTGGCACTCTATCTCTCAAATACATCAATTTCAGAGGCTCATTTAATCTACTTCCCAAAGTTACCAAATATGACTGGCTGAGAGTCAAGAGAGAGGCATGTATTTTTTCTAGTGAAAAAATTAGGAAAACGATGCCTTAGTGTCACATTAAAAAAAAAACTATGATATTAAAAAATTCAGTTGTATAGGATAAAATGGAGAAGGTGTATGACACAATGAATCAATATGAGGTTGTTTTAAGCAAAAATTCCTCTAATACTTTTAACCTTAAACATTTTTTGTTACACATGTTTATATAGAAAAATCAAACCCTAAAGCATTTTAAGTTTCTATTTTTAAAGTGTCACTTATACCCAGTTTTTTAAAAATAATATTTTATTGTCTTTTGGTGAAGGTCTTACAAAGCAGTTTAGGTTCCCATTCAACAATTTCTACACAAACTGTGACACTGGTTACATTCTTTATAATGCATGAACATTCTCATTATTTCTGTTCTGGTTGTTCTGTTTCCATAATCTAGTTTCCCTGCCCCCTTGCATTCTCATCTTTGTTTTAAAGTAATTATTGACCATTTAGTCTCATACAGGTGATTTTTTAAAGGCGCACAGTACTCAGTGATACTTTGTTTTGGGAGTCAATGTGTTATTTTAGCTAAAAGGTGACCTGGGGGTTAGCTTCAGTTCAAGGTTTCAAGAGTATCTAAGGGCAATAGTCTTGAGAAGTCCTCTAGTCTCAACTGATCCATTAAGTCTGTTTTTTTTTTTAAAAAAAAGGAATTTGAGGTTCTGTTCCATATATCCTGTTTTTAAATAACATGTTCAGTCTGTAAAGTGAGGGAGACCTGACTTGTTATATCCTAAATCTGCTAGAATAATAATTTTTTAAAAGGCTCAATCTTTTTGCATATACACTATTAGATGATAAACAGCCTTTTTAAGAAAAAGATCTAACTGCTGAAATTGTTGTGCAGTGGTTCTAAACTCACAACATTGTGCAACTATCACCTCTGTCTAGTTCCAAAATATTTTAATCACCCCAAAAGGAGACCCTGAACCCATTAAGCAGTCACTCCCCATTCTCCCCAGGCCCTGGCAAACACTAATCTACTCTCTGTCTCAATGGACTTAACTATTCTGGACATTTCATATAAGTGTAATCAGACAATGATGGCCTTTTGTGACTGGCTTCTTTCACTTAGCATAATGTTTTTAAGGTTCATTTATGTTGTAGCATATATTAATTAGTAGTTTATTGCTTTTTATGGCTGAATAATATTCCATTGTATATATACACCAATTTTATTTATCCATTCATCAACTGATAGATATTTGAGTGGTTTCCACTTTTTGGCTACCTGTATTTCCTTTTGCACCTCTTAGATTTTGAACCACATAAATGCATCCCTGGTGGCGCAGTAGTTAAGTGTTTGGCTACTAACCAAAAGTTTGGTAGTCTGAATCCACCAGCCGCTCCTTAGAAACCCTATGGGGCAGTTCTACTCTGTCATATAGGGTCGCTATGAGTCGGAATTGACTCGACGACAATCGGTTTTTTATTAAAAAATAAATACTAAAAGTATTCTATATGATTCTCTGGTGGTGGACACATGATATTATGCATTTGTCAAAACCCATAGGACTATACGACACAAAGAGTGAACCCTAATATAAACTATGAACTTTAGTTAATAATCATGTATCAAGATTGGTTCAGCTGTAGCAAAGGTACCACAGGAATGCAAGATGTTAATAATAAGAGAAACTGTGTGCCGGAGGGAGAGGGCATATATGGGAACTCTGCACAGTTTTTCTGTAAACCTAAACTGCTCTAAAAGAAGTCTATTAAAAACAAACAAATAGGATATAAATTTAAAAAACAATTACATCCCCTTAGAGGCCTTCCTTGATCTACAAACTAGAGTAGCCCCCGCTGTCACTCTCTGTACACCTCCCTGTCTGAAACGCTTGCTTGCTGTCGGCCTCCCAGCAGAATGCGAGTTCTACTAGAGCAAGTTTCCTTGTCTGGCTTGTTCACCACCATATCCCCAGAGCACAGAACCACGCCAGGCTCAGGGAAGGGGCTCAATACATATTTTTTGAATTAACGCATACTATTTTCATCCCAATTTTTACCGAAGAGGAAATTTAAGTAGAGAAGTTAGGTTACTGGCTCAAAGTCATATGGATGGACCTGAGATTTGAATCCAGCTACTCCAACTCCACAGCCTACTCCATATCCCTAAGCAGTACACCTTCGGGCCCTTGAGTTCACCTTATTAAGGCTAAGGTGGGGCCTGGTCATCTGTATTTTTAAAAAGGTGATTATGACACAGGGTGAGGGTTAAAAAAATTACTATTCTGGGTCAAAGCAAGAACTATAAAATGAAGACTCTTAGTTGTAATTTGAGAATTACAGAACAATTAACAATTAAGAGAAATGAAATTATCATGGCAAGATCCACTGCAGAGGGGGATGAACGCTGCTGTAGGTGGAAGAGGTGGCTTACCTGGAGGTCCTTCTCTGATAGGAGGATGATACTGGAAAGATCTTCTTTTAGCTGCCTGGCCACATTCTTCCACTTCAGTCCTGCCCCGCTGTCTGTTTCATCTACATCAAAGGACTCTTGGGAAATCCAAGCTGTACCTCCATCTGATAAATGGGAGAAAACACCAGTCACACTCATAGTACCTAGAAATGCCGCTTTCACCGCTGCCCCAAACACACACACCATCTTCAGGATGTCTGCACATGCCCCTGCTTGGCCACACAGAGTGATTTCAGTGATGGAAGAAATACTTTTTCTCAAAGATTCAGAGGAAAGCCAGTCCCCATCTAGGACCTTAATTTTCCCTCTTCTTCCATCTTCAATTTATTTCCACATGAAACCACTCTGCATTCTTCTGTGGGAAGAAGCCATTAAACCCAAAGTACAGTCATGCATGCCCAGGATCCTATCACACTTCCTTTTTGGTTAGTTTTGTGTTTCTAGGTGTGTTACCATTTTCAAAAATATTCAATCTCACCAGCTCTTCTCCTGGGCTTCGGAATTAATCCTATCCATAATGGGGTGGGGGGGAGGGCTGCAGCCATTGTTTGCCCTCTCTTGGGCTCAAGTACAACGGCGGCTGGTAGGGGCTTTGCCAAAGGGCAATTTCCTCAATTTAGTGGTAGAGGCATTTCCCTCAGGATACTTCTTTAGCCTTTCATCCTTCAATGTGATGGATGTAGTGATGATGCTGCTGCTGAAATAACATTTATTGATCCCTTACTGTGTGCTAGGTAACATCTAAATGGTTTATATTAGTGGTTCTCAACTGGGAGCCATTTTGCCCCCCAGGAGACACTTGGCAAAGCCTGGAAACACTTTTGTTTGTCACAACTAGGGAAGAGGGTGCTACTGGCATCTAATGGGTAGAGGCCAGAGATGCTGCTAAACATCCTACAATGCAAAGGACAGTTCCCCCCAACAAAGAATTATCCCGCCCAAAATGTTAAAAGGATCAAGGTTGAGGAACCCTGGTGTGTATATATATAGTGTTATATTATCCTTACAATCCGATGAGATAGGTACTATAATTATTATCTCAATAGGGCACTGAAAGGTTATGTAATGTGCCCAAGGTCACTGGCTAATAAACAGAGCCAGGATTCAGACCCAGGCAGCCTGACTTCAGCCTGCAGTACTGATCTCTCTGCCATGATGCATTTTAGCTGCTGTTGGTCTGTGAATTACTTGAGAACGCGGCCTAGGTCTCACTCACCTTTATCCCTAGGACTTAATACCACGTCTGGCACACAGAAAGAGCTCAGAAAGTGTTTGCTGCATAAACGCTTGAACAGCCACAAAAATAGCAACCAGCTGGCTGTGCAGTAAAGTTAATGGTGATGGATGTTGTGTCACACAGGCCTTTTTAGATATGGCCAGTGTTTCTTACCTGAATTGTTGTATGTCCACTTCTCATTACTGGCCAATGCCACGAATTTAGTGTTGGAAGGCAGACACAAGAAGTAATCGTCATCATCCACTATGGTGCCATCCTCTGCCAGGACCAGGGTGACTGGTGCCAGGGACTTATCAATGGCCAGAGTGTCATAAGCTGAACGGGATAAAATATTTGGCAACTAAAAAATTCTGCCTTTTAGAGAATTCAAGATCCAAAGAGCAAATTCATATCCATAAGGAAATTATAACTACTGACAACCACAACTACTGACACTGACATAGCACTTAACATGGGCCTGGCACTGTTCTAAGTGCTTTTCATCTACCATATTTAATCCTTAAGACAATCCTATATGGTAGGTACTATTATCATTCCCATTTTACTAATAAAAAAACCAAGGCTCATACAGGTTAAGTAACTTGCCCAAGCTAGTAAGTGGCAGAGCTGGGATTTAAATCCAGTCTTGCTCCTGGAAATGTGTTTTCTACAGCTATTATACACCACACACAAGAGGCACTCAAGTCTTTGAGTGAACAGCAAAATATACCAAAATCTGGTTTGATTCTTTGTGAATGAGTAGTCTTTTTTTCCATTTATTGAGTAGCCATCTTAAATTCTCTGGTATGTCAAATGTAAAAAAAAAAAAGAAATGCTTTTTGTTCTTTGTAGTGTCTTTCTTTGCAACCTTTCTAACCTATAGGAAAGCATAAGAGAAAGAGACGTCTGTATCAGTAGCTTTTCATCTTTTTTATCACTGCACCAGAGGCTTTCCCCAAGGCAGCTCTGTACCATCCCATTTAGTGATGGCAATGAGACGGAAATAAGCAGAAGTAGCAAAGAGTCTACAAGTATCTTTAGGGAACGTTGTCTACCACCCAAATAATGATAGAACAGTAAGCCTTGCATAGGCTGAGCTCCACAGAACACAAGCACTTACACAAGCCTCTGCACCAAGTACATCCAGAGCAAAGCATTTTTCAGTGACTTGAAAAAAAACTCACAAACTTAAGTAACCTAATGCCAGAAAATAAATACACAGCAAAAGCCAAGTCAACAGAGCATGTGTATTGCTTTGGCTGCTCCTAAGTCGCTCAACGACTTCTATGATAACCAGTTGGAGCTTAAGTAACTCTGAGAGGAATCACTGTACTGACACACGGTGAATACATGGCTGGGGATAGCTCACTTGTTTAACCATATATGGCTAATAACATCTGGAAGTCATCTGAATATATCATCTCAGTATATCAGCTCTTGTTGAGAGTGCTAACAATCCTGGGAAGCAGCATCGGAACTATTATACCCACTTTTCCAATGAGAAAACCGAGGGTCGAGAGATGCTAGTGCGAGGTCAAGCAGCCAGTAACAACATGGGGCTAGGGCTCAGAACTTCTATCATCTCAGTCACCCACAACACCCAACACTGTTCCTTTGTCTGGACTTCTAGGACAGTCAGAAGCCGCTCCCTCTTTCCGGTACAGGTACCTGTCGGAGCTGATGGTGAAAATCCGCCTCCTGGCGGCTTAGCCGGGGGCCCCCAGTACCATTTTAACGATCTACAGTGATAGGAATACACCGGGCTGCATATGTTCCGAAATCAGTATAATTTTAGGCAAGACACCGAAGCCGAGCCTCTTAATTTGCGTATTTATTGCCGCCTACTTTTCCACATTTAAGAGTCGCACACGAGATAAACTTTCAGCGCCTGTAAACGACAATGACAGGCTTCGAAACCTGTAAAGCGCTATACCCACGGGAGTCATTTCAGTGCCGTTTCCCAAGTCTCCACCTGCGCTGTAAGTCTCCCCAAGTCGCCCCTTGAACCCCTACCTGCCCCCGCCCGACTTCCTCTCCGGCCCAGTCCCTCCCCAGTCCCCTGCCCGGGTCCAGTACCAACCCTTGCTCCTCAGCTCCTCGAGGCAGGAGACCGCCACGCCATGAAGTTCACGGCTGTGGTTGCGGCGCAGCAGACATGGCTTCAGTGCCCGCATCTCGCCGGGTTTAGGAGCCCCGGCACCCTCGGTCACCTCCATCCTCCTCAAGGTGTGCGACCTGAAGGACTGGGTAAAGCCAGAGAAGCTGGGTGCGGCGGTCCCCCACACCCCCTCAACACCTGCGGCATGCCGGGAGATGTAGTTCTCTTCCCCTCAAATTACTCGTGGGACCGAGGCACGCCGGGAGATGTAGTTCTAGCCTCCTCTGATCACGTGTGGTCCCGGGGCATGCCGGGAGTGGTAGTTTCTCCTTCCAAAGCGGACCCTTAAGTGACGCGTTAAGCCCCAACAGGTGTTTGCTTCAACCTTGTATTTCGGAGTTGCAATTGCACGTTCACAAATGAGGCCAATAGGGATTTATTCTGCATTATGAAGTACAAAAACAAAAAAAAACCCAAACCCACTGCCATCTAGTCGATTCAGACTCATAGCCACTCCATAGAACAGAGTAGAACTGCCTCATAGAGTTTCAAGGAGCGCCCGGTGGATTCTAACTGCCGATCTTTTGGTTAGCAGCTGTAGCTTTTAACCACTATGCCACCAGGGTTTCCATTATGAAATACACGCATGTGTAATCCCTTGGATTTTTAGAGTACTCTTATTTGCATATATCAAACCAAAAACCCATTGCCATGGAGTTGATTCCGACTCATAGTGACCCTACAAGACAGAGTAGAACTGCCCCATAGGGTTTCCAAGGAGCAGATGGTGGATTCGAACTGCTGACCTTCTGGTTAGCAGCCAAGTTCTTAACCACTGTGCCACCGTACATAAATAAGACAGTTGGTCATTGCACTGTGTAATTGATTTTCCCTTTCTAGCCTGAAAAGATCTGTAAGATGTTCCAACCTTCAGACTGATTTGAAAGAAGTCAGTTTTAAAAATTAATGAGTGTAGTTTTCAGTCTCCCTGAAACACACAACAAAGTAACATAAGATACTGGCACATTTCCACCCATTTGATTTTCTGCTTTAGCTGTGCAAATTGGGTTTGGGTCCTCGGAACAAAACGCTTAAATAAAAAGATTAAACATTAAGGTTGCAAAGAAATCAGAGAGCAAAGGGGAAATGCAAACCACAGCACTGTTTGAGATTCTCCAGATGCTGCTTGGCAATATATTCATCTTTGTTCTAATACTACAACTTATGGAAACATCTGGTTTATTTTCCCCCCTTGAGAACTAACATTTACAATTTGAATAATTAAAGAAAAACTTTATCAAAAAAGTTCCTCGCTTAAAAAGGGAGGAGGCATTTTATGTAAAGAACATGGGTCTGTCTCTTTCATATTTTGTTTGTAAAAACTTGGGTGAGTAAATAGATATTATCTCATAAGAAAAGTATAGGCATTTAAAACAGTGTTTTGTAGGGGGATTGTCAGTTGAGGCAACCTTTATGTTATTTAGTTGCTGCCAAGTCAGCTTCGACTCATGGTGACCTTATATACAACAGAACAAAACATTACCCAGTCCTGTGCCCTCTTCATGATCATTGGTATGTTTGAGTCCATTGTCTCAGCCACTGTGTCAATCCGTCTCACCGAGGGCATCCCTCATCTTCACCCACCCTCCTCTTTATCAACCATAACATCCTTTACTAGTGATTGGTCCCTTCTGATGACATGTCAAAAGTAAGCAAGATGAAATCTCACCATCCTCGCTTCTAAGGAGCTTTCTGGTTGTATTTCTTGTAAGACTGCTTTGTTCGTTCTTCTGGCAGTCCACTGTGTATTCAATATAGTATTCTTCACTAACACCACAATTTGAATGCATCAATTCTGCTTCTGTCTTCCTTTTTCTCTGTCCAACTTTCACATGCATGTGGGGCGATTGAAAAGACCATGGGTTGGGTCAGGTGCACCTTAGTTACCAAAGTGACATCTTTGGTTTTTAAAACTTTAAAGAGATCTTTTGCAGCAGATTTGCCCAACGCAATACGTATACATCATTTGATTTTTTGACTGCTACTTTCATGGATGTTGATTGTTTATCCAAGTAGAATGAAATCATTGACAACTTCAATTTCTTCTTCATTTATTATGGTGTTATTTCTTGGTCTGTTGTTAGTTGCCATTGAGTTGATTCCAGCTCCACAGCGACCCCATGTGTGCAGAGTAGAATTGCTCCATAGGGTTTTCAAGGCTGCAACCTTTTGGAAGCAGATTGCTAGGCCTGTCTTTCAAGGCACCTCTGGGTGGGTTCAAACTGCCAGCCTTTCAGCTAGTAGTCAAGCGCTTAATTATTTGCGCCACCCAGGGGACCGTTTATTGGTCTACATGTAAGGATTTTCGTTTTCTTCTCGTTCAGGCATAATCCATACTGAAGGCTGTAATCTTAGACTTTCATCAGTAAGTGCTTCACGTTGTCTTCATTTTTGGGAAGCAAGATGTGTCATCTACATATTGCAGCTTGTTAATGAATCTTCCTCCAATCCTGATGCTGTTCTTATGAGTACCCTTATGTTGTTGTTAGGTGTCGCCAAGTTGGTTCCGACTCATAGCAACCCTAGGTACAACAGAACAAAACACTGCCTGGTCCTGTGCCATCCTCACATTCCTTGCTATGCTTGAGCCCATTGTTGCAGCCACTGTGTCAATCCATCTATTTGAGGGTCTTCCTCTCTTTCACTGACTCTCTACTTTACCAAGCACGATGTCCTTCTCCAGGGACTGATCCCTCCTGATAACATGTCCAAAGTATGTGAGACAAAGTCTCGCCATTCTCACTTCTAAGGAGCACTCTGGCTGTACTTCTTCCAAGACAGATTTGTTTGTTCTTTTGGTGGTCCATGGTATATTTAATATTCTTCACCAACACCATAATTCAAAGGCATCAATTCATTTTTGGTCTTCCTTATTTATTGTCCAGCTTTGGCATGCATATGAGGCAACTGAAAATACTATGGGTTGGGTGAGGTGCACCTTAGTCCTCAAAGTGATATCTTTGCTTTTCAACATTTTAAAGAGATCTTTTACAGTACATTTGCCCAATGCAATAAGTCATTTGATTTCTTGACTGCTGCTTCCATGGGCGTTGATTGTGGATCCAAGTTAAATGAAATCCTGGACAACTTCAGTCTTTTCTCCGTTTATTATGATGTCGCTTATTGGTTCAGTTGTGAGGATTTTTGTTTTCTTTATGTTGAGGTGTAATCCATACTGAAGGCTGTAGTCTTTGATATTCATCAGTTCACTTAGTGCTTCAAGTCCTCTTGCTTTCAGCAAGCAAGGTTGTGTCATCTGTTTATCGGAGGTTGTTAATGAGTCTTCCTCCAATCCTGATGCTGTGTTCTTACGTTCTTCTTCACATAGTCCATCTTCTCAGATTATTTGCTCGGCATACAGATCGAGTAAGTATGGTGAAAGGATACAACCCTGACGCACACCACACCATCCTTATGAGTACTCTATAATTGATCAAAACATAACTACAATATGAGCAGACCAATAATTCTAACGTACACTTGGCTTTTCAAATACTTAATGTCACAGTTTTAAATCTAATAACTTGACCACTATAAAGTAATAACGGTTAGTGGAAGCCTCCCCTCTTCCCCCGCAAAGTCTCCCTCTTCTGTGTTCCACCACCAATAGTCCTATCACTTTATCGAAGTTCTTGCATATCGATGCTGCAAAATGTTTGTGTATGTGTGGTGTGTGTGTGTGTGTGTGTGTGTGTGCGTGCCTGGGCTTGGGAGCAGTGATTGGGTCTTGCATTTATTTCCGGCACGTAACAAAGTTCTTGGGAAATAGTAGGCACTCAATAAATGGTACTAAAATTTAACTTTCAAGTTTCATCCCATTCATGCATTTATTAAATACTTAGCGAGTCACTACATATGCTCAAGGCACTGTAGGGATGGGCAGAGATTTAATTCAATTAGAATAATACACATATATGAGTTGGAACCAACTTGACAGCACCTAAGAACAACAACAATAGCTAGTGGAAAGTGGACGTCAGTGACAAACAAATCCTGTGAAATACACCGCTCAATATCTTTCATGGTCTCCTGTGCCTTGTCAGAATGGAACAGAGTCTCTCAGGGCAATCTTGGGAGTACTGCAGTGAACACGGATAATTATGAGATGGAAAGAGCCAGGGTCTAAGAATATGTGGAGCAGGGTTTTACTCCTCTACCTCTAATCTTTAAACTTTTTGTGAGGAAGAAATAAACATGTTATTTACCGAGGGAAAAAAAAAAAGGGAAAAAAAAGAATAATATACATATTATTCAACAATACAAAAAGGATAGACTTCAGATCTTCCTGTAAAGCAGAAACCTAGTGGAAATTGTGCGAGGTGACCCGCACACCCAAGTTCCCCTGCTCCCCTTTTTGTTCCCCATCGACCGGCTCAGTTCCGGCTACTTCCGGCTACTTTAGTCTGGGTGGGAGAGCGAGAGCGAAGGTGTTTGGGAGAAGCCTCGCCCAGCGGCGATAGATTAGTCAGGCCTCGGAAAGATGGCGTCCTCGGAGCAGGCTGAGCAGCCGAGCCAGGTAAGGGGAGCCGGACTGCCCCGCTGTGGGGGCGGGGACGTCGGCTGGAGGGGGCGCTCGGCATGCTGCCGGGAGGCAGGTGGGGACCCCCAGCTTCCGAAACTGGAGGCCCCGATCTCTTGTCCCCTCCCGAACCCCGCCCCTCCTCGGATCCTCCCCGCCCGGTCCCTCTCCCTGTGACCCCTCTTTGACCACATTCCCGTGCCTGGGTTCGGGAGTTCGGCCGCGTCCGCGGGTCCCCACTTCCCGCCTGCCGGCCCCTCCGGCCCTACTTGAGCTTGGGGGCAGTGGCGGAACCCTTGTGAATCCCCCAACCTTGAGCTGCGAGGGCCCCTGCTTGAGCAGTGGGGGTGAGAGGCTCGATCGCTTCAGGCTGTCCCCTCTGGGGAGGGGCCTGACTCCATCAGGATTCCCACTCCCTCACAGCCTCAGCGTCCCGGGGTTGCCCCGCTGCCAGCTTTTTCGTCTTTAGTCACCTTTCGCTCCCTTCTCCAAGTTGGAGGATTGGGACTGTACTTGGACCCTCTCTGCGTTGAGAGGAAGCGGACGCACTGTAAACAACAGACGCCCCCAAGCTATCATCACTTCCTTGGATTTGGCATTCTCGGCCGGGAGTTCCACTCTAGCCTTT